TGTACAAAAGTGCTTAACATAATGGATGTATGTGTGGATTGTGATAAGAGTTGTACAAGCCCCCAATAAAATGATTTAATTATTTTTTTAAAAAGGACTCCAGGGGGGTGGGGGTGGGGAGGCAGCTGTGTCCCCCTCAGTCACAGGAGTCACCAGCTGGAGCTCAGGAGCTTGGCTGGGTCCTGTTCACTGTCTCCAGCCGCCAGAGAGATAGCAGAGAGCAGTGAGGTACAGCCAGGGCCCTGGGACTCCAAGGCTATGCTGCCAGGCTGGAAGGGTGGCTGGAATACGCTCTCTCACCGAGTACCGGGCATAGCCAGCCCTCCAGCAGCTGAGGCGGGAGGCAAGCACACTTGAACAGGAAGGGGTAGCCATTGTGCTCTGGGCAGCAGAGGCCCTTGTGATCAGGCCAGTGCATTTTCTGGTAGGGTTAGTTTACAGTAGCCCACACCGTAGCACCGGGCATAGCTGCTTCTGCTGGCAGGCTGCACACTTGGAGATGGGGATGCTGGGCACCTGAGGGTGCTGTAGGATTAATAGAAGGAATACTTCCTCATCTTGATAAGAGCATCTGGAAAAATCCTCACAAACATCATAGGGGTAGGAGGCCTGAGCATTCTTTTGTAGAGGACCCAGAGAGCTCACAGTACCATCCAGAGCCAGAAAGGGACATGTACAGGGCAAGTCCAGGGCAAATATTATTGGCCCCTCGATAAGTCTCCACCCTTGTATTATTACTGAAAACTGTAGTCTTGGGAACTTTCTGAGAGATGTATGAGTTTTCGTGCCTGGTGCTCTATAATTCCAGCCCCAAACTGCCTCCCGGGTTTCCCCTGGAGCGGGGAGGGGGGTTGGGGGGTGGGGAAATGATACGGCAGTCTCTGCTTTCGGCTTTGCTGCAAAAGCAACGAGGCAGCAGCCTCCTGGGAAACCAGTTCATAGACTTTGGGGACAAATGGAGCAGAACCAAGGTCACCCAGGGCGGGGATCCACCGCCCTGGAATGACCACAGAGACACAGGCCCCACAGCCTGACAGTCCATGTGCTCCGGGAGGACTGCAGGGTCAGGGTCAGGGCCAGGAGTGAGGGGGCAAGGCCTTCAGCCAGGAGATGAGCTCTCCCTGCTGCAGCGAGTGGACAGGCCATTAAGGAGCCACCAGCGCTGTGCTCCGGTTGGGCCCCTGGCCTCCCTAACATGTGCAGTCTGGGTGTCACCACCCTCACTCTCACTTTGGCTTTTGTCCTTTTCAAGGGCATAACCTCCCTGGACCAGGAGGAGAGATGGCCCACAGTGAGGCAAGAGTCTCTGAGCAGGAGTTCCTGGGAGAAGGAAAGCCAGATGTGTAGCCCCAATACTCCCCTGCTTCTCCAGCAGAGCAGTGGATCGGTTTGAACCCTCCACCTTGTGGTTAGCAGCAATCCAATGTTTACCGGGAAAACAAGGTTTTCAAATTATTCATCTGGAATCGCACGGGTTTTGTGGCATCCTCCTAAATGTGCACAAAGGACAACCATCACCAAAGCAAGCCCAGGCTGGCATGACAGAAACTGGTGGAAGGAGTAAAACTTTTGGAATAAGCATAAGATGTGCATCAATATGTTCGATTTAAGGAACTCTGGTGGCATACTGGGTTATGCAAGGGGCTGCTAACCGTAAGGTCAGTGGTTCCAACCACTCTTAAGGAAAAAGATGAACTCTCACAGAAAAGCCTATGGCCCTCAAAAACAGCCACAGGAGTTAAAAGAGCCTGGTACTGGTACCAGGATAGATATGTAGACCAATGGAACAGAATAAAGAACCAAGAAATCAACTCATCTACTTACAGTAGATTGTCAACAAAGGGTCAGAGAATATTACGTGGCAAGATGCTAACAAAATTGGATCTCCATCTGCCAAAGATTAAAACAGAATGTATACCTCACCCTGACTGGCTCATTTCTCCCCTGTGACCCCTCTGTGAGGGGATGTCCAATTGTCTACAAATGGGCTTTGGGTCTCTACTCCATGCTCCCTCCACCCCCACCCCCACCCATTCACTTTGGGTATGATTTTGTTCTGGGTTAGATGCCTGGTACCTGATCCCATCGACACCTCATGGTCACACAGGCTGTTGTGCTACTTCCATGTGGGCTTTGTTGCTTCTCAGCTAGCTGGCCACTTGTTTGTCTTCAAGCCTTTAAGACACCAGATGCTATATCTTTCGATTGTCAGACACCCTCAGCTTTCTTCACCACATTTGCTTATGCACCCATTTTGTCTTCAGCGATCCTGTCGGGAAAGTGAGCATCACAGAATGCCAGATTGTTAGAACGAAGTGTTCTTGTGTTGAGGGAGTACTTGAGTCGAGGCCCAATGCCCACCTGCAACCTTAATTCTTAACATATAGATATGAGTACATAGTTCTATTCCCCTCTTGCTATGTGTATGTTTACATATGTACATGCCTGTATTTAGACCTCTATAATTGTCCTTTGCCTCCTAGTTCTTTCCTCTATTTCCTTTTACTTTCCTCTTGTCCCACCATCATGTTTGGCCTTCATTTGGGTTTAGTAATTCCTCGCTGCTACATTGCCCATGATTAAGCCCCACTAGGCATCCTATGCCCTTCTCTCCATTGATTTTAGTTCACTTGCTGTCCCCTTGTCCCTGGGTTGACTTCCCCCACCTTCCTTTCTCCCACCTCCCCTTATCCCGTATCCCCCTGGAACCATTGGTCCCGTTCTTTTCATCTCCGGATTATTTATCCCGCCTATCCTATCTAGATAGATATGCAGATACATTAGTAAGTGCAAAAACCCAACAAAGCCAAATAAAACAGCAAAGGAAGTCAAGACCAACAAAACAATAACAACAAAAAGAAATCCACTGATAAAAATGGAAAGGTCTATAAATAGTTCAAGGTCTGTTTGTTGGCCTTTTACAAGTGTTTTCCTGTCGAGTCTGATGGGGTGCCACACTCTGTCTCCTGTCTATTTTTGGTATTCCCCCAGGATTTCACCACTTTGCTCCCCTTGCTGCTCTGTTGCATGCCCTTAGTGTTTTCCCCCAATGTGATGGGGTCAGATCGGGCACAATTCCCACACTATGTCTCCAGTATTGTCCCCTGCAGTGCTATGGTATAGTGAGGGATGTCGTGTCTAGTGGTGGGTCCGGCCCTATCGTCCTCTTTGTGTATTGTCTGCTCCCAGCAGGAATATTGTCCTCGGAACTTAGTGGGCCAGGATGTCCTCCCCTCCCTCTTCATCCCTTTTTATTTATCCCCTGTGCTCTAATCAGACGCACCCCTCTCTCCAAGTTGTAGCCCCTGTGCTGTCCACATAGTTGGGATTGGGGCCAGCCCCTCAGACTTCTCTATTGGTTCTCTTGTACATGCCGGTAGGTTGTAGTCACATCTTGGCGCATCGGGTTGAAACCTGGTCTCTCTCTCCCTCTCCTGTGGAGATATAAGCAATACCCTCCCCTTGGGTGGGTTAGTGCCCTGCTCCCCGCCCTACCCATGACTTTATTTTTCTCTTTCTTTCCCCCTCTTATTAGTTGTATATGCCGAGTTTTTCTTCACATTTTAATGCAGTTTTGTGGTAAAATTAGGTGCCTCAGCTAATATTGGGGTTGGCTTATACTCAAGTATATACAGTATATGCCAATAAAACTTAAAATATAGTGTTTACATTATCATGATTATAGAAATATGTGTAACTCACAGAGCTGTAAAGATCATCAATGAAAAAATTGGGGCAGCCACATGGAAGCAGCACACCAACATGTGTGATCATGAAGGGCCGAGAGGACCAGGTTTCAAGCACCAAAGGGGGGGGGATATCATATCATTGTGAATGAGGGTAGTGCATGATGGGGACCCAATGCCCATCTGTAGACAACTGGACATCCCTTGCAGAGGGGAAGTGGGGAGGAGATGAGTCACTCAGGGTTCAGTGTGGCAATAATGAAAGTCACAACCTTCCTCTAGTTCTTAAACGCTTCCTCCCCCCAACTACCATGACCCCAATTCTACCTTGCAAACCTGGTTAGACCAGAGGATGCACAGCAGTACAGATGGGAACTGGAAACGGAATCCAGGACAGATGAGCCCCTCAGGACCAGTGGTGAGAGTGGCGATACCAGGAGGGAAGGGGAGTTAGAAAGGGGGAACCGATCACAAGGATCTACATATAACCTCCTCCCTGGGGGATGGGCAACAGAAAAGTGGGTGAAGGGAGACGCCAGGCAATGAAAAATAAGATAAAATAATAATTTATAAATTATTAAGGGTTCATGAGGGAGGGGGGAATAGGAAGGGAGAGGGAGGGGAAAAAGGGAAATGAGGAGCTGATTCCAGAAATCCAAGCAGATTCTGAGAATGATGTATGGATTGTGATAAGAGGGAGCATAAAGTGGAGACCCAATATATATACATACATACATATACATATATATATATAAATACACACAAATAAACTCACTGCCATCCATGCCGCCTCACAGCGACTGGATAGAAAAGGGTAGAATTGCCCCCTGTGAGTTTTCGAGACTGTAACTCTTTAAGGGGGTAGAAATCCACGTGGTGGGACTAATTTTAAAAGGCTGGATGAGGGAGGGATTACAACGTCCTTTCCCTGGCTTTGTTTGGGGGCGCACATTGGTGGAGACTACAAATGTATTGTGGGTGGCTTTAAATAAATTTATCGTTTTTCTCTCTCATTGGAGTGTATCGGCGGACTCAAGCCGTTAATACCTATAGCGCCACCAGACGTAGGTATTAAGTAGAACTTGCGGAGTGGTTAATGCGCCCGCTCTATGAAATGGGTCCTGTAGTCCACCTGCCTTTCGCTTCCTGTCAGCTCAAAGCGCGCTTAGACTTCGGGGCCGGAACCAGGGTTCAGGGAACTGGTTGTCCCACCGGCTTGCTTACGTCGACGCACCCGCGCTGTCTCCGCCCCGGAGACTCCCTAGATACGGGGAAGGGTTTTGCCGACGTACCAAGGATTGGTCCCAAGTTGCCTCAGATTTTCGCGGCGTTCGCCGCGGCGTCCTGAAGCCAAGGCAGCTACTGCCTGGATTCACGACTTGAGGAGGCCAGGGGCAGTCATGGCTCCGGTCTCTCACTCGCGTTCTCCTGAGAAGGAGGCTCCGGGCTCCCGGGCGAGGCGTCGCAGCCCGTCGAGGAGCCCCAAGCCCACGAGAGTCGCCCGCTCTCCGCGAAGCCACCGCTCGCGCTCCTGCTCTCGGTCGGGAGACCGGAACGGCCTGAGCCGTCAGCCAGGCGGGCCCTGCCATAGCTACCGCAGCCAGCTCTACCGCTCCCGCTCCCGGACCCGGTCCCGCTCCCGCGAGCGGCCTTCTGGAATCCGAGGCAACCTGTTCAGCTCGGTCTCGTCTACCTACTACGGCTGCTACTCGCGCCCCTACGGAGGTGACAAGCCGTGGCCCAGCCTCCTGGACAAGGAGAGGGAGGAGAGCCTGCGACAGAAG